GGTGTTTTCTCCACTTGTGCATCCCCCAGAGGTAGGGCAGTACTACCACTAAAAAAAGTCTTGTCAGACAACTTTGGACCTTGGTGTGATGTAAGGATGTCCTGACATTGCCCCAAAATGAAACTCCTCCCTGGACAGGTGGTGGAAATCACCAGGGGAATCCCTGTTTTGCTACCAAAGGCTAACTGTTGTGGTGGTATAACTGGACTGGATGGTGGTGGCCTTAACTTACTCTTCTGAGCATTATCAAGGGCAGCTCAGAGGGTAGTAATGTTCTCTTAAATGGACAAGGAGCCTGAAAAGGGATCACCAAGGAGCCTCTGGACAGACATGGTCTCAGATGCTACCTAGGGCTTTAGACTTGACTGAAACATTAGATTACTTGTGTTTCAGGCTGGGAACTGCCAGGCTTTACCTCTGTTTAAATGAGGGACTGCAAGACTAGACAGCATGGCTCTTTTCAGTTTATTACATGAATGAGTTACACTAGTCCAAGTTAAACAGCGGACCCCAAATGGTTACATTATACAAGCTGTGAGGTTTTTAAACTTGTGACAAGGGACAGAAGGGAATTTTTCTACTCATTGCAAGGAAATCCTCACTTAAGCTTCAGTGAGCCACAAGCACTTAAAACCCATGAACCTTCAGCTGGTCGTCCTTAGCCAGTCCAATCTGGAAGATGAAACAAAAAGTGTTTTTAGGGCAAAAATATCCTCATTATAAGACTTTTCTTTCATATACACTATATGTTTGTTTGCTACTACATAGAACATCAGCACTAATTTTAACAGCATGCTAACAATGACTGAGCCAGGACTTAATTTCCACTTAAGTTTTGAAATTAGCATAGCTTGTTTTGCCAATTCAAATGGATTTATTCCTGCCACTTTATTTAGGTACATTAACACTTGAAGGCTCTACAGGACAGTAGAAGAAAACTTGGGATTAAAATTTGCCATTATTAAGCAATTTTGAGATTTGAAGCACAAAATGATAAAATCAAATCTTGGCTCTGCTACTTGACCAACACTTTTGAAACCTTGACAAAGCCACTACTCTTTGAACCATTTACGAAACATAAATGTGTGCACAGAAGATAATGGTTGCTCTCCAATTCTAAATCCTCACTGACAATGCTTTTATGAAGATGCTTAATTCAAACCTGCCATGTCTACTTTTCTGGATATATTCTCAACCAAGCCCAAAGCAGTTTTTACCTCGACAAGGAACTGGCATATGTTCTTGCGCTGGTCACCCTGTAGCTGAATTACTTCTCCATATTCTGGATGCTCAATTACAGTACCATTGCAGGCAAATTTCTGCAAAATTAAATTCAAATTACTTCAATTACCATATTAACTGGGGGACAGAGAATGATGGGACTGTCTTCTGGCATATCCTACCTACAATCTTACTTTGCACAGCTAAAATGTTTAACAATCTGACTGTAAGTAATGGACAAACTTGAAACCCCACCACCTACCTTCTTGAATGCCTTCACTAGTTTCTTTTTATCGTAATCATCAGCGATCCCCTGGACTGTAGTGAGGGTCTTCCTGCCGTTTCTCTGTTGAATTCTTATATGGATATAATCCTCAGTCCCAGCAGGAAGCAGGTCATCACCCTTACTTGCATCAGCAAAGGGGTCTGGGAGAATAGACAAAAGTTCTTAGGAACCTTTTAGCTGTTAATTTTAGCCTGGCACAAAAGGGCAAATATCTTCTTTCTGTAGTTCCTCAGTAGAACTTGAAAAGGTTATAGAACTCGGTTAAAATTTCAGAGACCAGAATGTACACAAAAGTTGGGGTTAGAGTTCCCAAGAAGAGCCCAATCCAGGCCAGAAGTCCCGCCCTTCCCTCGCTAACCAGCCCCTTTGGACTATCACAAGCCAGAGAAACCAGAGCACAAGTGGCTCCGCCTCACTGACGCAATCGGGCAGCTTACAGGCTTGCGCCCCCGTCATTCAAAACTGACTCCGCCTCCACTCAGACCTCGCCCTCCACGGCAATGGCCGGTGACGTGGGAGGACGTGACGCGCGGCGGGTGTGACCAAGGCAGGCGAGAAGCCACTAGTAAATGCGCCACCTTCGGTTCTTGGAGGGGTACGCCCAAGTGTTGGCCTCGTACCCACCGCTTCGAGCCGCGTTAAGAAAAATATGACCTAACGCCTCAGATATGGCCGAAATCACGGCTTGATCATCTTTCTTTCATCCATTTCCCCCACCTCAAAGTGTTGGGAGGCTTAGGCCTTCTGCAGGCCCGGATCCCCTTCCTTCCCTTCTCCGCCCGCCCCAGCCCCGCCCAGTGCTCACCGAAAGAGTGGAGGTTCTGGATAGCGGACATACGATACGATTCCTTTTCCTCGGTGGAAACGGCCTGCGGAAGGCGATGGCGGGAGAAGGCGGGCGGGGGGGACGGAGCGTCGGGAAGCGAGGGGGCTCGAGGGGGAGGCTGCTGAGTCCTCGGCGGCGGCTCAGTGACTGGGGCGGGGGGGCGGCACCGGCACCCACTTATATAGCCGCCCCTGTGACGCCAGCGCGCTGCCCTCACGTCCTAGCCCCACCCACGGAGCCCTGCCCCGAGCTCCTGGGGCTGTGCCACTTCTGATTGGTCGGGGAGAAGGGAAGGTGGGAAGACGGCTGCGCAGTCACAGGCCACTGCGGGGGAGGGCGTTCTCTTGGCTTGGGGAGGCTTCCTGCCCCCCCCCAACCCCGACCTCAACCCCCCAAGCATTTGCGCCGTGTGGTGCGACCGAGAAGGGTGGAGAGATCTGTGACGCATGCGCACTAGATAAACTTGCCCGCTTTTTTTTCTCCTTTCCAATCACCACCTCCACGGTCTGAGATACCCCTCACCCTAGGAGGGAGGGGTGCGGCCCAGACATCACCAGTCAAACGTCGAGCCAAGCAGCCCAACCTTGCACTGCCCAGGCAGAGTCCATTCTCCTGTGGAGTACTCAAGAGTACTCCCCTCCCCCCCAAGAGAGGTCTCCGGATCTCAGTTACATCTGTCAAATTCCACCCCGACACATAAACTTTATTTCCTAGAAGAGCTCTCTAAATCCTGACAAGATTCCCCGAAATCACATTGGAGGTTGTGTTCAGTTCTGAGTACAGTTTAGGATATTGATAGGGTATTGTTGATCACTGGAGAGTGTCTCTAGAAGAGCAACCAGGCTAGTGAGTTTTCTCAGTTCAGGTCCCTTGAGGACTGGTTGGAGGAACTGGGGATAATTTAATTTTTCTCCAGGCTGAAGCCTGAAAAGAGAAGACTTAGGGGGCGTGAGGTGGGCTGGGAGGGGGATATGTGATGATTGCTGCGCTCCACTATTGGGGAGGGTTCTCAGAAGAGAGATCTCAGTTGTGTCCATGTTGGCTCCAGGGGGCAGAACCTGGAGCTAAGGGGGGTGAAAGAGGCAAAGGGGCCGATTGAGGCCTGTCCTGGGGGAAAATTTATCTAAATTAGAGCCTCAAGTAAACTGGTGTGCCTTGGGGAGTATTGAGTTCCCTTTTATTAAAGGTCTTCAAGCAGAGGCTGGGTTATCACTCTGGGGGTGCTATATGGGGATTCCTCTTTGGATATTGGTTGGATTAGATAGATCAGTTCTTTTTGACCTTTGAGTAGTCTGGGGAAGCCTATAGTTCCCTTCTCAAAGTGATGTTTGTAAATGCATCAAATAAAATATATAGAATTATCAAGGAAGCCAATTCTATTGAAATCGTTATCAAAATATTAAAAAAAAAGCCAAGTTCTCAGACCCTCTGATTAAGAATTCCAGGATTCTTGAAATGAAGTCTCTTCCAACTTTGTTATTCTGTTAAAAAAAAAAAGATGGGATTTGGGGAACTGGGTGGGTTAGGTATTAGTCTTGGGATCATCAATATTGGGTGTGAATTCCAGTTTTGCCACTTAGAAATTATATGACTATGAACAAATAATTTCTTCCCTCTGGGCTTCAGATTCCTCCTAAATACACAATAAGAGGGATTAGAAACAGGGGTGGGAAACCTGCAGCCTTGAGGCCACATAGGGCCCTCTAGCTCCTCAAGGTCACACCCCTGGACTAAGTAATCTCTGAGATTTTGAGGAGCTCTCCATATATCAATCCTATTAACTCCTTGTTATGTGCCTATGTAGCATGTGGTCTAAGAATATATCCNCCCTGGACTAAGTAATCTCTGAGATTTTGAGGAGCTCTCCATATATCAATCCTATTAACTCGTTATGTGCCTATGTAGCATGTGGTCTAAGAATATATCTTGTTTATTCATTCAAGAAGCACTTATTAAGTATTTACTATGTGCTAAGTGCTAGGAGTATAAAGAAAACACAACAAAACAAAAAAGCCAAACAAGAAACCATCTTGCGTGATGTTCCTTAATAATGGTGCCATTGAAGGCACCCTCATTCTTGATACTTTCAGGGGTAAAGAGATCTCTCTTCTAATCAGCAGATAGGTCTTTTTAAGTTTTAGGGGTTGAAACTCTTGTTAAAGAGGATATCCTCCATGTAAACTCCAACCTAAATATAGTTTCTTCCTGGCGTTTAAGCTTCTGTTGGAGACTCATCTCCAGCTTCACTGGCATGTCATCAGCATGGATAACAAACCCAGAGATTCATACCAGTTAGTCGAGTGAACAAATATTTAATATGTTCACCGAATGTTAGGACTGATCAAAGACTAAGTTTATAGATGAACGTATAACAAGCTCTCACGTGACAGGGCCTGGGCATTCAAACATTGAGCATTTGTTCCCACACAGATTAAATAAAAAAACACCACACATGATTGGCTGCATTTTTTCTTTCTTTTCTTTTCTTTTTCTTTTTTGTTGTTAGATAGGTGAGGAAGATGTTTACATTTCTGAGTTAAGTGATTACAGAGGGAGAAACAGCATAATCAAGGTGATACTAAATGATAACAGGAAGTTGAGGGAAGGAGAACTCAACCCGGAATTGAGGAGCCAGGGTTTAGAAAGAAGGGAGTGTAGGATAGTGATAATCTACCATAGTCACACCCTCTGCTCCTATTCTTCAAACAGTAAAGATAATGGAGTTGTATTTTCCTTTCACTGGAAAGTCCTAATCTGTATTGGTATAGGGAATTTCCTCACCTAGGTTCTCTGATATGAATCACCGGCCAGTCCCAATCCTTATTCATTTTTGTTAGATGCTAATAAGGATTTGAAAACTAATGAGAACAAAGAGCCAGCTCCTGAGGAATTGCAATTTCCCAGTTGTTGTCTGTGCTTCTCCCAAATGTATTCAGCATTCATTCAACAAATGTTAATATCTTGCACCCAACCACGGACACATAATGCTAAGATGCTGGAGAAGGGGGCGGGATATAAAAACAAACAAACAAAAAAACTGTCCCTGCCCTCCTGGAACTTACAGTCTCTTGGGGGAATGGGAAACACATTCATGTATTTAATATTATATATGTGTGTGTATGTATATGTGCATATATATGTGTATGTGTATGTATGTATGTGTGTATGTATGTATGTGTCTATACACACACATAATATCAAGTAATTTGGTGAATGGAGGACACTGGAGCTGGGAGGTAGGGTTAAGGATCAAGCTCCTGTAGGAGGTGTACTTGAACTAATTCTTTTTTTTTTTTTAANATAATATCAAGTAATTTGGTGAATGGAGGACACTGGAGCTGGGAGGTAGGGTTAAGGATCAGGCTCCTGTAGGAGGTGTACTTGAACTAATTCTTTTTTTTTTTTTAAATTTTTTTTAGGCAATTGGGGTTAAGTGACTTGCCCAGGGTCACACAGCTAGTGTCAAGTGTCTGGTCTGAGGCAGGATTTGAACTCAGGTCCTCCTGACTTCAGGGCCTATCCACAACTCTATCCATAGTGCCACCTAGCTGCCCCCACTTGAGCTAATTCTTACAAGTAATTTGTTATTGTTCAGTTGTGTCTGTCTCTTTGTGACCCCATTTGGGGTTTTCTTGGCAAAGCACTGGAGTGGTTTGCCATTTCCTTCTCCAGCTCATTTTACAAATGAGGAAACTGAGGCAAATAGGGTTAAGTAACTTTTCCAGGGTCACACAACTAGAAAGTGGCTGAGGTCTAATTTGAACTCACAAAGATGAGTCTTCCTGACTTCAGGTCAGGTACTCTATCCATTGCATCACCCAGCTGCTCCTTTAAAAATAATAACAGCTAACATTTATATAGGGCTTACTATATACCAGGCTCTGTGCTAAGTGCTTTACAATGTCTCATTTGATCCTCACAACAACCTTGGGAGGTAGGTGCCATTATCATCCCCGTTTTACAGATGAGAAAACTTAGGTAAATAGAGTTTACATGACTTGCCCAGAGTCACACAGTTAATAAGTGTTTGAGGCTGGATTTGAACTTAGTTCTTCCTGACTCCAGGTTCATTGCTCTATCCACTGTACCACCTACTTGCCTTGAAGGACTATTCTTAGGCACCTAATGGGAGGTGGAATGTTAAATTTTACTATTACTACTACTAAGAATAATGATGATAATAATAATGATAATAATAATAATAATAATAATTGATAGCTAACATTTATATAGTGCTTATACTGTGCTGAGTGGCTTACAACTATTATTTCATCTGATCCTTACAACAATCCTGGGAGGTAGGTGCTATTATTATCTCCATTTTACTGATGAGAAAACTGAAGCAAACAGCGGTTAAGTGACTTACCCAGGGTCACACAGCTGGGAAGTGTCTGAGGCCAAATTTGAACTCAGGTCTTCCTGATTCCAATCCTGGCACTCTGTCCACTGCACCACCTAGTTGCCAGGATTATTAGGATCCTACAGCTGGAAGGGACCTCAGGGGCCCTTCATTTTTTATAAATAAAGAACCTGGGAGGCTAATCGACTTATTTGCCCAAGGTCACAAAGGTAGTAAGCATCATGGGTAACTGCATTTGAAACCTTCTCTTGGCATTCCAATAGGAGGCTCAGTGGACAGAGTGCCAGGGCTAGAATTAGGAAGACCTGAGTTCAAATCCAGCCTTAACAGGTCTCAGATACTTACTCGCTGTGCTACCCTGGACAAGTCACTGAACCCTGGTGGCCTCAGTTTTCTCATCTGTAAAATGAGCCGGAGAAGGAAATGGCAAACCACTCTAGTATCTTTGCCAAGAAAACCCCAAATGGAGTCACGAAGAGTGGGACACTAATGAAAATGACTAAACAGCGACAAACAACAAAAAACTTGTGAATCTAGAGCCAATGCTGTTATGTCTACCTACCCACTAGCAGCTCGTAGGCTGTTTTGTATGGAATTTGGATTTTACCAAGTGGCAGCAGTGTAATGCTGTTGGAGAGGTCAGTCATAGTGCAGGTCATCTCCGTTCAGGAAGGAAGTTACACACATTGTTGCTACTGCACAGGTATGGAGACTCTATAGGTTAGGATTTTTCAGAAAATTAAACCTACTTTGAAGAGGGTTTTCGGAAAGGAATACACA